GGGTAATGCCCTAATGAGTTCATTCTTTATAATTCATTTATATGTCTTGAAGACATGATTCTTCCAGCTCAGTTTTCTGATATTCTAAATGATTCAGGGATTTTGCATTATATCTGTCACTTGCTAAATAGGAATAAATACACTGAATTTTCCAGCTCTCCATAGTTCTCTGTTTGATGTATTTAAAAAAAAGATAGAATTAATGTAATGCTGTGTGGATTAATTTCTTCTCCACTATTTTTTTTCATAACTTTTGAAGGCCTTTTGCTTACCTGGCTGTAACTTGTACCTGAGACATTTGTTGTGACTCTGGAAGGACAGTGCATGCAAAGTACATTTGATTGCACTATAAATCTTTAAAAGAGGGAGTATGATGCTTCTGGTTTATTTGTGCTACCCATACACAGAAGGAAAACCTACAAGATCACCAAACATCAATGGCAGCTGGCAATATTTTCCCATAGAATTTTGTAAAATCATAATAAGTTTATAACATTTGTAGGTTTTCCAGGTTTGCTTGGATTTAGTTCTTGATTCCTGTATATTATGGGCTGACCCTTTGGATAGTCCAGGCTCATCAATTTTGGATCTCCTCTCTACTGTGAAAGGCAGTCTTGCTAAATACAATGTCATAAATCAAGGATGGATTTTTAACCTCTCTGGTTATAATTTATTGAGTTCTATCTGTTACCCTAAATATGAATTAATTTATAATATGTAATTTAGGCTGGTGAATTATTGCCAAATTATAAGACTTCACAACTTGTTGGACCACTACTAATACTGGATTTTTAATTTATTAGACTATGTCTGCATTATGTACCATATGTACTTCAAAAGGTAGTGCTCAGCATTTAGAACCATGCATTTTCTCATTTAGCAGACTTATAGAACACCTGTGTAAAGAAAGGGTAAAATTTAAAAAATGTAGTTGTTTTATAACAGCAAATAGAAATGTATTTCAAATTATACTATAGGTTTCTAAGGAACCTATAGTATAAAGACACTTTGCCAAAACTATTATGGATGAGAACAGGGCTGGTTTAAACCTAATCCAAATTCTACTTCATTCTATGCAGTATTTCCATTAAATATGATTAATGTCCAGGAATAAAAAACTGGAATAATTCTCTTTGTTCTAGTAAACAAGTCATGTGTATACTTCTGATTTTTATTTTAAACCCAATTATCCACTGGACTAATTGATACCTTGGAACTTCTTTGTAATTTAGAACTACCCATGGCTCCAAGGAACTGAAAGGCTAAAGGAAGAGAGCAAACCCTTTAAAGCACTGACCTGATAGTTATTTTTACATCACTTTGTAATCACTTTGTTAAACACACTAGTATAAAAAAATAATGTATATGTACTGATATGAAGTATCAGCTGAAAAAATGCTATACATAAAACAAACAAGTTCTCATCTATAAATTTCTTAGCCTCATGTTTTTTTCTTAGTAAAATCAGGAAGAGGAATACTACTGTTCTTAAAAAAAAAGAATTGGTTAAAATATTGACAGCCCTGAAATTTGATTTAGGAATGTACAAACAATTGTTTTAATTGTCACCAAAGAAAAACAAAATTGACATGTCATCTGTGTAAAAACTAGACATTATTAATAGTAGGGTTACACAAAATAGCTATAGGATATTGTATAGCAGTTAATATGATGATCTCATAAATTATGGAGATAAGAGACACTGACCCTGAAGATTAAAACTCATTTGTTAACAATAGAAAGAGCTTGTCTAGCTCATCTTAGTTATACTTAAAATGTATTTTATATGTATTACATTTATACTGATTGAAAAGTCATCACTACTGCTATGTTGCTGAGTAATTAATGCTGATTATATTAGTCTCAGCCCAGAGATTTAAACGATAAACACACTGCTACAGTTTGCAGTATTGAACCAGTATAACTGGACTTGTCACTGAAGTTTCAGAATGTGCTGTTAATGACATAGATTGCCATCGTAAGGTATTCACAGGAGCTATTCAATATTGAAAGTAAACATAGGTGTGATTTGCTGTCTGTCAGCAAATTTGCTGAGAGCAATACAAATCTCTGAAATAGCCATGGTTATAGAGTAGAAAATGTGCCAGTAGAAAAAAAAAAAAATAACGAATTCTGTAAGAAATCATAAAATGACAATTAAAAGCATGATGCAGAATTGTAAACACAAGTGGCCAGTATCATCACATTCTATTTAGAAAGGCAGAAATAGTCAGTAAATTATGTAGTTGCTTATTGTGCTCATTCATCGGGGGGTCGCTGAGGCACCAGAAATATAGTTCAGTATTGAAGATTTGTTATTGTTTAGACCACATTGTAAAATCTATTGATTGTCCACATGCAGCATGATTTATTCTTTCAACTAATATTTGTGCTGGTAATAGGATACTGCAGCCATGGATTGTAACAGACATTTAGATCACAGATTTTATGGTTTCCATCTAGGAAAGTAATAATAAAAAAAGATTTAATTTTCTTCACATTTTATTATTTTAAGCCATCTAAACCTAGAATCAATTTTACTTCATTTTTTTGGTCTTTGCTCTTCTAGGCTGCTCCAGGATTTTATATAAAGGGTTGTCAAGTCTGTGATAACTAGTTACCTAGCATTTAGTTCAGTGGTCTCAGCACAGCCATCTAGTATCATTTCAAATGCAGAATGTTTATAATAAAGAGCCTACAGATATGACACAAGACCTGCAGAACACAAATGACCTTTTAGACAGGCAAATAAAAATGGCATCTACCATTAAAAATGCTATCAAACACTCTTAGGCGACTAAATAAAATTTCTCTGGTAGGCCTGCTTGTTCTTTGCATTCCTTATTTCCCCCAGTAAAAATGAGATATATTACAGTTAGATATTTAATAATGTCGGGCTGTAATTTAGTTTCCTATGTACTCCTGCCTTCGTGGGATCTGGGTGTCCAAACTGCCTGTACAGCTGGTGGAGATCTCATCCTTGGTTCAGGTGCCTTAAAGTGGGCATCTTGATCAGTTTAATCTGCCCTGAGTTGTTGTGCCTCCTTGTCTGCTCCAGAAGGAAATGGGTCTCCCATAGCTCAGGGATGAGGTGTGAGGGGCTGGTGGAGGTGTTGGGAGCTGCAGAGGTACTCAGCTGGCACTTCTGCATGTTTTCTCACAGACTAAACCCAAGAGGCTTTTCTGTGTTGAATAGGTCTCCATTGGTGGGAACCTAGCTTCATAAAGGGTACTGACTTTAGGAGTATGACTTTTGAAACAAATTAATCTCTTTGATTTTTGGCATTGTCTCTTTGACATTATGAATTTGGCATCTATGAATGATTGTAGTGAAATTCACTTAAGGGGAAGTTCACATATGTATGTGACATAGCAATAAAAAAAAACCCCAAAAAACCACACAAGTGAGATGCTCTTTCTGACTCCTTACTGTGAGCTGTCAACACTTTTTTCTTACGTGTGTGAATGCTAGAAGAATAGAAAAGAGAACAGCAAATTCAATTTAAGAGTGGCGTGAAATACGAAACTAAGACTTACAGATAGCGGAGGAATGATTGTGATTTAGAAGCATGTATCTCTCTTTTATTGGAGAAAAGACGGACTGAATACAAAGTATATGTGATCTTTTCACAAGGCATGCAATTTCAAACTCTCTGCAGTCAGCAAGAATCCTTTCACTGACCTGAATGGAACAAACACTTTATCATAATATAAGGCTCTTATGCATAGATATTTGTAAAATATGTGGTAGCCAGTCTTGTCTTTTTTACATTTATTCTGGTTTTTCTACTATACTTTTCAGTCAGTGACTGACCAGCAGACTTCAGATTGTTTCAGAAATTGCTTGACATGATTTCACACTATTTGATTCTGCCTGTATTTAACATCACTGTTTGGACAGTATTAACTGTACTTCATGCTTTTCCTTACTTTATTTTTACAGTCTTATTTAAAAATGAATGGGAAAAAAAATACATGAAAACTTGTAAAACTTGAAATAAAAGTTACTGAGCTGTAGCCATTCAGTGTATAAAATGGGTTAATATTTGTAATATGTCTTTCTGTGTTTCTGTTCTCAACTCTAAGCCAAATTTCTTTTTCATCCATATATTGCTTCATTGCCTTCCCTAAAGTGCAACCTTCTCAGGCAGATCTAGGGAATTCCTCAATGTAAACATTCTTTTTCTGTTTTGAAAGCTGATGTTTTTCCTTACCTGCAAATCATAGATCAAGTCAGAAGAGGATATTTTTCCAGTATACTTAAACTGCTTTATTAAACACTACTCAGTGTATTTAAGGATTACCATCTAAAGTGTGAAATGCAAGTTTGTCCATTCAGGCTTTATTCATTATCCAGTTTTTGAGGCTCAGCAAGGGATTATCCATCAGTTCCTGAGGAAAGCAGTTCTTGACCATACCAATTGCCAGACGAAACAACACTGCTTAAAATCATGTTCTTATGTGTGTTTGGAACAACTGCTTCCTCTGGAAGACACAAAATAAAAGCTGATCTTTAAGAGTTATTAAGTTTTAATAGAATTGAACAGTTGTTTATATTGTTTAATGTTAATTTTGCCCATCCATTTAGGATGGTAAGAGGAATGGCATTCAGCTCTCATTGCAGATTGAGTCGTGAGATGAGAGCTCATGTGTTTATATGCATAGACAGATACAATAGGACTTTTCTGTATTTTGTAACTTAATTACTCAGTTTACAATTATTTCCTGTTATATATTTTTGTTAAGTTGTGTTTAGTGCAACCTGCAAAGAAAATATGGATTATTAATTGTGTTGTAACATTACATGTAAAGTGCTTCCCTATATAGGATTGACAGTTGTTGTAGTTTGTGCGAAGTTTGTCTCCTCAAAAATTCTAACGCAAAAATTACTTTGTGATATATGTAAATTGTCCTAATATAATTGTTTTATGTTCTTACTCTAATTTCTTTTTTTTAAAACCTTAAAAACAATGATTGATTGATTGATTGATTTATTGCAGAAACCTTTGAAATGCTCATCAGACTGGCTGAGAATTACACCAGCACACTTTTCTGCAATGCGTATAGAAACATGGCTGCTGAGGCTGCTGTGCACGTGCAGGAGTTTTTCACAGATGTTGGGCTCTTCCTATTTGGCACAGATGCCAGCACAGAGGAATCTGTGAATAGATTCTTTGACACCCTGTTTCCAGTAGTGTACAACCATGTGATTAACCCTGGTCCGACTGACATTTCCCTGGAGTACGCGGAGTGCCTCCGAGCGGCGAGAAGAGACATCAGGCCCTTTGGCAGCGTTCCCAGAAAGGCCGTAGGGCAGATGGGACGATCACTCTTACCCAGCCGGAGGTTCTTGCAGGCTCTGAACCTGGGGGTTGAAGTGATCAACACGACAGACCACCTGCCCTTCTCCAGAGAGTGCAGCAGGGCTTTGCTGAGGATGCAGTACTGCCCCCACTGCCAGGGGCTGACGCTGAGCAAGCCCTGCCTGGGCTACTGCCTCAACATCCTCCGGGGCTGCCTGGCCCACCTAGCAGAAGTTGATCTCCACTGGCAGGGCTACATCCAGGCCCTGGAGCAGCTCTCAGGAGCCCTGAGTGGAGCACACAGCGTCGAGCACGTGCTGCTGAACTTCCATTCCCTCGTCCACGACGCTCTGGTACAGGCTCGGATCAACGGGCCAGAGGTATCTGAGCAGGTAAGACGCTGGTTTTATCCACACTCAGGGCAAACACGAAAGTAGGAAAGGTGTCACTGATAGCTGTTATTTGTTTGGCCATTTTTGTGGTGGGGTACACATTTGTATCTGAGTTCAGCTTTATTTGACTAAGCAGTTTCTGGGAGCACAAAAGATACTTTTCATGAACATAAGAAAATTGTTTGATTATTATCTTATGTGCACGTTATGATAAATGTAAACAATCCTTATTTTAGATAGCTCTGGCCTGCCTTAAAGAACCTATGACTTTGCATATATTATTTCCATAATCTTGGAAATTGGAATATTTCAGAGGAAGCAGCACAGTTCATTTGGAACATGAAATAAGTCCTATCTTACAATTAAGAGAAAAAAAAATTGTGTGAGAGCTCTGTTAGCTGTGAATGTGTTAAGAATTTTAGGATACTGTTATGGAAAGTGGACACTATTTAACTCCACTTTAGGGGAAAAAAGCTAGTATATATGCTAATTTATGAGGGTAACTACCAAAATCCAAATTTTTCCTGTATTATATTTAATCCACATTTTTTCTTGTATTATTACATGCAGACTTCACTGACAGTGGCATATTCTGTATTAAGTACTGGATTGGATAGCTTGGTTTGGGGAGACGTCTTTAGTTTTCTAGTACACCCTAAAGAGGGTGTCTGGGTGTCCCTGTACTGTGACATCAGCTGAGGTGCCAGGAGCGCTTCTAGGATGCCTCAAAACTGATTAGCTGAAGTTAAAGCTGTGTCTTCTGTTCAGCAGCTGACATGACCTCTGACAATAAACAGCTTAGCCTAATATCAGAAATAGAGGTGTCTTCATTTCTTACTAAAACCCAGATAAAATGGGTTCTTTATCCTGCTGTAATCTGTGAATAGCAGGGTTAATTTCTTCAGATTTCCCACTATATCAGCTTTATACCAGCCAGCTTCATGAGCCGTAATATCCTGCTGCTCAACTTCTTGAGAAAAGCTGTCATTTTTTTTGTAAAAGGGTTTTTCACTAACATTTTGACTCAAAAGTGGTTCACTGATGTCTCTCCAATTCCCAAGTTATTTCAGACCTACAGTTGCCTTTTAGGGAAATAACCTGTTGTTCCTTTGATTTCTTTGGGATCTTTGTTGCCTACCATTTCCAGGAACAAGCTAGAACAAGCAAGTAAAGGTTCAAGGGAAGGACTTGTGTTTCCTACTTCATCCTATGTCATTTAATTTGAAAAGTTTTAGACTTGGATTTTCAACAGTAAGTTGAAAATTGATAACAGTAAGTTATCATTGGCCCAGACTTAAAAATCTCTCAGCGCACTCATGTTTTCCAAATGACAGTTTTTACAGTGCAAAATAGTATATATTTCACTGAATTTTAAATGGGTGAAGAGCCCTCCACTTAGTGTTTTTGCTTAATGAAAATTCCATATTGATCCAAAATATAGTGCTTTAATTTGATATTCCTGAAAACTGCATGGCTTCCCTCTCCCCATCCTTCATTCAGTGTAAGAAATTTCTAAAAGTTCTATGTAAAGAATTTCTAAAATTTTATTTGTAATGATATTTGTTGCCAGTCTGTTTGTTTGAAGATCATGTGTTTACTAAGGCTATGTTAAAATCGTCTGATAATAGAAGCATTTCCCAGCTTCAAAACCCACATACTTCATTTTTGACTCCAACTGCACCAGACCTAGACATCTCTTTCACTTAATTTCTGTTGTAATTGACCAGTCCTTTCTTTCTTTGATCACTAATTTGGTCAAATAAGACTATAATGCAGTGTGATCCCTTGAAACATGGTTATCTAGTCAGCATATTTCATATTTTCCCATTTATTAGGTATCAAGACTTAACTCTGGCATGTAATAAATATAGTATTTCAGCTTTAAGAGGCAGAGGATGGGAATTTCATTGAAATGGGCTCATTAATATTTATTTTATCTTCAGAGTGACTCATGAACTGTTTCAGGTTTTGATAAGCAATTAATGCATCAGTGACTCTAACCAACAGGGAAAAGATGATTATGAGCAAGCAAATAATGGTTTGCTTAGGCACGCAGCAGTCTGCACTTTTAAAAGAGAATTTCATTACTTTTTGTGAGTTTTAAAGAAGCGAACAGAGAAAAAAAATTGAATGTTTGGAAGTTTCATATATAATTATGCAAGTGTTAATATTAGAATCCATAGAGTATCCTGCCTAATGATACATGTAGCTGTGCACTCTTTTTATTCATTCATTGCTGTTTGTGTAAATAACCATATGTAAAGGATTTTTTCTAACACTTTGCAGGAGTATTTAAATCTGATGTATATTCATGCTCTAAGCTCTGTGTGATGTGGAAAGAACACTAATGCCTATATAGCATGGCTTCCTTTTACAAAACTCTTTTTCTAGTAATTTACAGATTGTTCCATTTTCTGCTTGGGTCAGCAGAGCAGTGCCAACTCTGTGTCCATCTGGAATTTATCTTTCACTTTCTTGTTACTGTTTCAAAATTGCCTTTAATTCTGCCTCCCACAGCTCTGCTGACTGACAAATAAGTGCAGCATCTGTTCATCATCTCGATACCTGTGCATTATTTGATGCTGTTCTGCAGAATGTAGTGGAGATGTGTGGGCTGTGCAACTATTCATGTGTTTCTGTATTTTTACACCTACATATTGTCATATATTTAATACCACTTCTGTTCCTGAAGTCTATATATCTCCATATATTGCTCAATGCATAGTGTACCCTATGCTTTTTAGATGGAACAGAAATTTTTTAGCAAACATCTGTGTGAATGCTCGTGCAGATACAGTGTAATAGGAGTTTAAGAGAGCTGCACCATGCAAAACAAGAACAGTTGTATTTTTAGGATAATCTGAAGAAGGGGTTATGTGGTTCTTACACTCTGGATTACAGCTTGAAGTGCCCATTGTTACAGAGCAGCTGGAAGACTCATCCTGTGCTTCTTTTGTGCTCAGCCTGAGTTGCCTCATGCTGGTCTCTGAACTTGTGTACAGCCAAAGAAATCCTGTGGAGGGCACTGTACAGCCTGATGAATGCACAAGAACTTTATAGCACATTTAAGCCTTACACACATGTCAAAATCCCCAAACCAAAATACCACAACAAACCAAAAACCAAGCTAACAGAAAATCCATGGAAGTTTTTTTACAAGTTATAATAAATTGTTTAATGTCACCCCCATTCTGTTATTGAAACCACTGTCAGTGTTAAGATAGAAGGACAAAGAGGTATTTCAGCAAGTTCTACACAGTTTTGGTGTGGATGGAGGCTACTATCCCCAGCACAGGAGCATTTTCCCACTCCCTTTATGTATGGATTGATGTCACCACCCCAGGCCATGGAAGACACACTCCACTGTCACTTACAGTGTGATTCAACAGCAGTTTAATCCAGTGTCACCCTGGATTGCCCAAGTCCTGCTCTGGCACCATCCTCAGCTCTCTGTTCCCACCCCTTTTGTCTCTGTGCCTGCTGCCCTGGCAGCTGAAAGCCAGGCTGGCTGAGGGAGTGTCTGTGCTCTTAGCTAGAGTTTCGTTTTGCTGTTTGAGGACTTGTGCTGCCACGCATTGGGTGACCCACAAGGGAGAGGTTCATTGGAGTGGAGCAAACAGAGGACCTGAGAGAAGGGGAAGTGGGTCTGAGGTCAGGCAAAAGATGAAGGAAAAGGGGAAAGGAAAAGGAGAAAAGGGGAAGCTAAAATTCACAGGGCTTTATAGTTGAATCTTCCCTGCAAAATTTGCATATGAGTTTTGTTCTTGATTCCCAAAAGATCAATGGTGTCTGAGTTTAATATTGAATAAAAAGAGATGAAAAAGAATATTGATTAGTTGTTCATTGGCTATTCTGAGCACTGATGATTTTGGGATCTGAAGGAAAACGAAGTATGTGACCATGATACTAAAAGATACATATGCATATAAAAATGTGGGAATCAGAAACACAAAAAAAAGATCACAAAAACTCTGGCATTTCCATATTTTGAAAGTGAGGAATCTGTGCTAACGGTTTGGTAAAATTCTTGTATGTATTTTTTCTATGTAATAAAAGCCTACATAAATTCAGAATGGGATTTTCAAAAATGCTGTGTCTTCACTATGTTCTGAGAAATTTTCAAACAGTTGTACACAACAAAAATATCAATATATCTAAATATTGTGGAAGCTCTCAAGTCTGTTCTTCTCAGTCTAATCCTGGAAGAATATCTAAGTTATGTGTCTTCTAAAGAATAGGCATAATTATATTCTATTAAGAGAGACTTTTGTCTTGTTTTTTTTTTTTTTTTTATCAGCTGTCTAATATTGGAAAGAAAGCAAGGTCTTTGTTGGGACATAGAATGCTAGCAGAAAGAAGAATTTAATAGACTTTATTTCGAGCCCTATTTTTCTTCCTAGTTATTTTTGCTGGAATTGACTAGCTATAAACAGCCAGAATTGCTATAATAAAGTGATATCTTTAAAGAGAGTAAAAAGGATGAGACAGAGAAATACAGGTTAGTCAGCCTTACCTCCATCCCAGGAAAGGTGATGGAGTAACTAATCCTAGAAACTATATTCCAAACAAATGGAGAAAAAGTTGATTTGGAGTAATAGTTAACCTACTTGTCATCCTTAATAGGACAGCCAGATTGACAGGATATGGATAGGGCATTGGATGATGTCTACAAATTTACCAAAGCCTTTGAGACTGTCTCCTACAACATTCTTAAGTATAAACTGTCAAAATGCACAGTGAGGAAGACTGAAAAATGGATGGGTGGCTGGGCCCAAAGGATTGTCACCAGTAGCACAGCTGAGGCAAGTCATTAGTGCTCTGACCCCCAGGAGTTGATACTGGGGCAGATACTCTTTAATGTCTTCATTAATGGATGGGGTGATGGAACAGTTTACCCTCGGCAAGTTTGCCGACAGAACAACACTGGGAGGAGCAGCTGATACACCAAATGATTGTGCCATTCAGAGGAACAGATTAAAGAATTGACCTGAGGGGAATCT